AACAGGATAGTTCCTAGAAACAGGATAGTCCCTAGAAACAGGATAGTACCTAGAAACAGGATAGTCCCTAGAAACAGGATAGTCCCTAGAAACAGGATGGTCCCTAGAAACAGGATAGTCCCTAGAAATAGGATCATCCAAGTAAACAAGACAGTATGGTAAACTGGACGATCTCCATAAACAGGACAGTTTCTGTAAAGTGGAAAGTTTCTGTGAAGTGGACAGTCCAAATAAACAGGACAGCTTTTGTAAAATGGACAGATCAAGTTAACAGGGCAGTCTTCAGAAACAGGATGGTCCAAGTAAACAAAACGGTCTCGTAAACTGGACCATCTCCATAAAAATGACAATTTCTGTAAAGTCTCCACAAACAGGACTGTACATAGAAAGCAGGATGGTCTAAGCAAAGACAGTCTCGTAAGTAGGACAGCCTTTGAAAACAGGACAGTCCCCGGTAACAGAAAAAAAATCCCAAAAGCTCAGGAAAACCGTGTCTGTGATATTTATCCTCTTTATGTTGAACTGATCTTTAAAAAAAAAAAAAAACAGGTAACTTCATAAATATTCAAATCAACCTGCTGGAAAAGAAACCTGAAGGAAGATCAGTGAGACCTCTGAAGAAGACATCAGCTCGTGTCAGTAAATGTGTTTAATAAAAACATCATTTAAACTAAATTAAGACATTTATGTTCCAGTGATCCCTGCGACCCGAAAAGGAAGAAGCAGGTAAAGATAATGGATGGATGGATATTCAGCTAGTTTAGCAAACAACAAGCTGAGGTTAGAAGCTGCTCGACAACAAAAACAGACAATTTATTAAAGCTAATTTAGTCCTTGATTAGAATCCAACAGGTTTGCAACAGAACCACACTAAAGAGAGATTCCGGTTCAGAAACTTCCGCCGGGGACAGAGACTGTGTGAACAAAGACACAAAAAGTGCTTTCGGTTAAGAAGGTTAAGCGGAGCATCTGCTCTGTGTGACCTCTGACCTCTGACACGAGCTGCCTTCAACAGTGGCAGGTTCTGCGTTTAAGCTCGTTAGCTGTGGAGAAACGTCCCGCTGGACCGCTAGCGGGCCCAACAGGAGGCGGTACCTCTGAGGTGGAAGAAGTTCAGGTGGTTCTCCACAGCCTGGTCCATCGTCTCCTGAGAGCAGAGCGCCACTCCGCTGGGGAACAGGACGCTCCTCTTCCTCCGGGTCAGAACCGAGTGTTGTCTGAACCACACATGGTCTAAATCCAAAGGTCCTGCGGTCCGATCAGAACCCACCATCATGTCATGAGTAGAATCTGTCAGAAAGCAGGCGTTTATAACCAGTCAGCTGATTTTCAGTTTAACTGGTCTCATCCCAGAGGGAAACTGTTTTTTTTTTTTCTTGTGCTGGTTAATAACACATCCCATTAAATTAACAACAAGCTTCATATACACCATTTACTTATTTACATGTATTTTACTGATAGAATGACGGAGATCCCTTCAATTCCTTCATAAACATTTTGTTTTTAAATCTGCTTCAGCTACTAGGCCTGTCGCGATAAACAATAAATCAATTAATCGCATGATAAATGAAAATTACCGACCTCGTTTTCATTTATCGGCTTTATCGTTTCTTCGTGTCTTTCTCTTTCTACTGAAGACACTGGATGACAAAAGACTCAACTCCGGTGTTCTTCCCTGACCCCGCCCTTTCTCTTTAAAATCTGTTTTAACCGTCTAAAATCGTGTTTTTGGATCGTTAAAAGCAGCTAAGCTACAAGCTAAGCTAACAGGCCGACCACGGGGAAAACCTCCGTCTTTTCGAAGCTCCAAAATTCACCATTGAAACCTGTGCATTCGTCTAAAAAGTTGTTTTTCTCTGCAAAAAAAAGCTGAGAACTTGTTCACTGATTTTTTTTTTGTTAAAAGCTTTGTGCGAAAAAGAGCCAAAACCACACAGAGCGTCCGCCATTTTGAGAACTGAAGCGAGACTGCCCATATCACGTCAAGGGGCCTCCCTCCCATTTTTCTTAGAGACACGCTGTTCGCTCCCTCACTATCCATCTTTCGATTCAAAGTTTTATACTGCCATCTGGTGGTCGAAAAGAAGTACTACATGCAAAACAAATTAAACATTTCTTCATAAATTTGACAATAATTACTAATTATTGTCAAATTTCAAACAATATCGTTTATCGCAATAATTTCTGAGACAATTAATCGCCCAGCAAAATTTGTTATCGTGACAGGCCTATCAGCTACTGGCTCAGTTTGTCGTCTTCTTCTGCTACTTTTAGCTTCAACAACTCAGTTTCAGCTTCTTCAGCAAATTTTTCATCAGTGTCCCGACAGAAAATATAATTTATTTAGTTTCTGCCATGAAACTAATAAAATCTTTATTAACATAAGACTAAATGAGTAAAAAGAGATGAAATCACATTTCTTTCTGTAACCTGAGCTTGTTTCTCCTCCTTTACCTCCACTTGCTGAGCTTCAAACGAATCGTTTTTCCGTTACAGTGATGCAACTTTATTTTGGAGTTTTCTCGCAGCTATTTAAACCTGAAGTGGACGACTCGGTCCTGCACCTGGTAAAGGTAGAACAGTTTCATACACACCTGTTTCTGTGAAGAGGAAGCCTGGCAGCAGCAGCGCCCACAGCACCCACAGCTCCACACGCCTCCAGGACATTTTGAATAAAACTCTGCAGCTCCTCACCTCCTCCTGCCTGTTCCTCCCGCAGCTCTCATGGCAGAATTAAAGGAAGGAAGACGGGGCTCCGCAGCCTCTCCTCTCAGGTGAGCAGATGGGACTCCTGCGCCGCAGATTTCTGCCCGACCTCTAATCCTATTTGTTAAGCTGCAGGAGTGGATGAGTGTCAGGGGCCCGACGAAGCCGAGGGACAGGCCGAAGGCTCCAGATCAGCTGCAGTTAACTCAAACAAACAGCAAAACTTAAGCTGAGGGCTCAGAATATTGTTTAATGTTAAAGCAAAAAGAATAGCCTGAACTGAGTATACCAATAAATGATCCAAAAAACTGCAGTTTTACTGTAACTTACAAATTATGTGGTATTAAATATGAGATTTAACACTCCAGCGTCACTTTCTACATCATTGCAAATGATAAAATCATTCTTTCATCGATCTGATTAATAAGGGTTGGTGCACAGAAGAACTGCAGTTAATGACACCAGAAATTATAAAAATAAAACAATACCTTGGATTATTTTAAGGGCATGTTTAAACATAAATAAAAACACAAGATTCGAGTACTGTTGTACCTTTCAGGTACTGTTGTGCTGTTCAGGTACTTTTGTGCAGTACTAGTACTATTGGGCTGCTCAGGTACTGTTGTATTGTTCAGGGACTGTTGTACTGTTCAGGTACTGTTGTACTGTTCAGGTACTTTTGTGCTGTACTAGTACTATTGGGCTGTACAGATACTCTTGTACTGCTCAGGTACTGTTGTATTGTTCAGGGACTGTTGTACTGTTCAGGTACTGTTGTTCTGTTCAGGTACTGTTGTACTGTTCAGGTACTGTTGTATTGTTCAGGTACTGTTGTACTGTTCAGGTACTGTTGTATTGTTCAGGGACTGTTGTACTGTTCAGGTACTGTTGTACTGCTCAGGTACTGTTGTATTGTTCAGGGACTGTTGTACTGTTCAGGTACTGTTGTATTGTTCAGGGACTGTTGTATTGTTCAGGTACTGTTGTACTGTTCAGGTACTGTTGTATTGTTCAGGGACTGTTGTGCTGCTCAGGTACTGTTGTATTGTTCAGGTACTGTTGTACTGCTCAGGTACTGTTGTATTGTTCAGGGACTGTTGTACTGTTCAGGGACTGTTGTATTGTTCAGGGACTGTTGTGCTGTTCAGGCACTGTTGTACTGTTGAAGTCCTGTTCAGATACTGTTGTATTGTTCATGTACTCTTGTGCTGTTCAGGCACTGTTGAACTGTTCAGGTATTGTTCTACTGTACAAGTACTTTTGTACTGTTTAAGCACTGTTGTACTGTTCAGGCACTGTTGTATTGTTCAGGTACTGTTGTATTGTTCAGGTACTGTTGTACTGTTCAGATACTGTTGTACTGTTCAGGCACTGTTGTACTGTTCAGATACTGTTGT